TATATATATATACGTAATTGTATAATTTGTACGTTATTATATATTATTATATAATATTACAACGTACAGTTGTACCGAGGATTACCTGAAATAGGTCTAGTCGTTTGTGTGACTAGCGTTGATTAATAATGTATTGTGTATTACGTACATTTCCAATTTTAAAAAACTTGAAACGATACTGCACGTTGCATTTTTCGATAACAAACAAGTGTCGAAATACTTTTGACGTTTCTCCAACGTGATGTGTTACTTTCAAGGCGTTTCTACTGTTTTTTAAACATACTGAGAAAAGACAAAAGTTAAAAGGTCATCCTTCTTTGAAAGAAGGGAAAAAAGTTGAAATATACGCAGCACGTACTGAAACACTTTGTTCGATTTACTCCATTTACAATGATTTCTTACGCGATTCTGATCGCAAAGAAAAAAAAAGAAGAAAAAAAAGAGAGAAAAAAAGGAAAAATACGATTCATAACTCGAAAGAAATTTGTTACATGTTTATCGTAAATATCGGTTAATCTAACAATTTCGAACAAATTGACTTTCAATCTCGATCTCTTTAGATTTTCACTTAAATTTTGATCCTCCGATGAACGCGAACTTATGACGTATGTACGTACGTATGAGTGACTACTTTCTACGAAATGAATTTCCACGTACGCAACGCTGTCTCGTACGTATTTGTACACACTCGTCGGAGTAAATGTATATTAAAAACGCTCGGTGTTGAGACGAAGCAGAATACACGCGTCCGTGACGTGTGTATTTTCATTGTTATTCTCCTTTTTTCCTCGTAGCGTTTCCGAATTTTCTACTGTCGCTATTTATCGCGTACAGCACAGAGCGGACGCACGCGTATCGTGCGATTCGTCGATTGTGCGTACGAGCGTGTCGAATTCAACGAAGATAACGCGCGGATAAAGAAATAGTTGACGGTAATATAAAAGAGTACCGTTTTGAAAGTGTTGAAGAGCAAGTGTGTATGTATGTATGTATGTATGTATGTATGTATGTATGTATGTAGGTCACGGAAAGCTCTTGAGCGCAAGTCCATCGCGCAGCAAATACGACTTTTCGATCGACACGTCGTTTCGTAAAGTACGTCGGTAGGTAGGTCGACGGTCGCAACGTTTGCTACGTTGCACGTGTGCAAATGTTATCAAAAATTTCTTCCATCACGGTATGTTTTGTCCAATTTGCGACTCCGTGTGCTTCCGCCTTGGACGTTGAATCGTCCATGCATTTCTACGTGCTTATACACGTGCATAAATCCCGGCTTTTTCTTCCCTTTGTCCTTTTTTTTTTTTATCTCTTCGTACGATTTCGATCCACGAGAAAACGCTAGTAGTAGACACACAGCTAACGACGATTCTAACGACCGTACTATCTTTAACAAAGAAAGCGTGTATTATGTTTTTTCTTACGACCAAACGAGATCGTTAAAAGTGCAGTAAAGATATATTTTTGTTGTTCGTTTTGTTACACTCTTCGCGCGCGTGTGTGTGTGTGTGTGTGTGTGTGTGTGTGCGCGCGCGTGTGTGTGTATACTGTATATACATATTACTATATATAATTTACTATATAATTTACTTTTATTTACATTCCACGAAAAGGATTTCAATTATATTTCACGCGCATAGTAGTTTCTAAGTACTCTCTTTCTTCTTGAATGCAAAGACACTCTTCTTGAATTATAGTAGATGCACCGGCGCAATGTCTTTCTTCGCTTGGAAAGGGAGCAATCGATCTGAAAATACCGAACACGGTGGAACACGTAACTTGCAAGATGGTCTCTTTCAAATTGCATCTCAAGCTTGCCACATATTGGTACAAGTAAGTTTCGAGTACGATCGAGTAACAATTACAAGCAACAAACTCGCGAGTTTGTTTGAATTCGAACAAATTCGATTTATTTATTTCGTTGCGAAATACACTCTCGTTTCTTTTCTTCGTATTCGTTAAATTGCGCGTTATATTATTTCCGTGGCGTACTTGAAATTATTTATTTCGATTGATTTCAACTTGTTGTTATCCTTTCGAGTTTAATCTTTGAATTGAAATCGACGAGTCGAGGAACGGGAAAAGTAGGAAAGGGATTCGACTATCTCTGCCGACTACGTATGTGAACAATATACCACGGTCAGTCATTGTACACGCAAACTGTGAACTTTTGAATTTGAAAACTTTCGCGAGCGACAGTTGCAAACGCATTGCAGTTGATACGAGTGCGCGCAAT